ATATGTTTCAATTTGATCCCTTAACTTGAAGATAAAGTTTTAATATGGTCATCCAAACTAACAATCAACAATTCAATTCGTTTCTAAGTGTCATTTGAACTACATTCTTGTTTTGTATAACGTACAATAACTTATATGTTATGCACATAAGATTGTACCAATCATCTTGGATATAATCATTGGCTTAGACATTTTTGTTATGTAGTGGTCAGAATGCAAGTACAAAATCAAGAAGTCAGTTGATAAAAAAAAAACTCTACAGATATCTTGTGTGTGCAATTAAAAATGATATAGGCACCCTTAGATATTTTTTAAAGGAAGCATTTACATAAACTAAAATTGCATGTTTACACTAATCTAAATGGATTGTGATAAAAAAGACAAGGGTCTGTTTAACGAGTGCCCAATTGACAATCATCAAGATGTATTTGAAGTGCTAAATTTTAAAAAGGTAAAGTTAATTAGGAAAAAGTACATAAATGTAAGAAAGAATAATAATTTTAGTTAGAAAAGTATATAAATGCAAAGGAAAATAATGATTGTTATTGCATGTATTTACACAATTTATTAGATGTAATTTAAGTGTGTTAACGAGAACCCATTAGATACCGTTAAAAAACTTAAAAAACAACTAGGTTCTCAAAAAGTAATTAATACTCATCTACCATTTTTAAGTAAAGAGGCTCATTTGTGTATGTTCAATTCAAACCATATTTTTCCAAGGAATGGTTGCATACCTTGTAAATTTATAGCTAAATATTGAAATAATTTTTTCTTAAGATATAGAAAAAGATTGTAAACATCAATGTCGATCTTGTATTTAAGATTAATCACAATAATATGGGACTAAATCCAACTACCTTGTTAAACATAGGTTAGATGGGAGTAGCTTGTAAATCCAAAACCATCTTATCAATTAGTGTGCTTTTTTACCTCTTTATTTTTTTATTATAATTTCTGGAGGGAAAATTTTTTGAGTCAAATTCTAGTCAATGGCCCCGCACATAATATTTTCTTCCGATCCTCTATCCCTAATGATGCACCCTTCAGCCAGGTATGTTACCCTGAGCCATTTGGGTGTCTGGTCTTTGTTGACTTTCTCTATTATTAGAAGCCCCATCACTTCAGCATTGAAGAAGAAACCCAGTAAAAAAAAATAAGTTACTTCGGCTTTTTGCCATATTCTTTCCGTTTGTTGGCTTTTGTATTGCCGTAAAAGCAATATTAAAACTCTAAAACTTATAATTGGAATTCCATCTTCAATTTTTTTTGTTATACGACCAAAATATATCTCTTATTATTGTTCAACCTTTTACAATTGCACCACCACCGTAACCATGACAAAAAATATTAAATTAAGGTGGATGCTTTTAAAATTTGATTACTGATATATATCTTGCATTTCTTCATTGCCAATCCAAGTTTGTACCCTTATAATACACGTTTGTACGTATAGTTTTAAAAAAAAAAGCTTTCATATTTCATATATTTTAAAGAAACTCTGAAACCTAATTGAGGAGGTGATTTTTGGGGGGCAGTTGAACCAGCCGAAATCAGCCTCTTCTGAGGTGAGTTGTATCTGTGTGTCCGAAGTGAATGGCGGGGCTTCTCCCCTGAGATCACTCCGATGCTCAAGTTAGTATGAGAACGAGAGAAATAATAGTATTGTCAAATGAACAGTATGCTTACTTGTTGGGAGTGTGTGGGGTATTTATAGAGTGGCAGTGGAGGTCAGGACGGAGGGTTCATGCTGGTGGGACCCATGTCCTGACATTACGGCTCTGTTCCCTGCGCAGGAGGCCTGACTCTGACACTGTAGCCGCCTGGGCTGGATGACGGGGGTCCTGCGCAGTAGTCATTAAGATCACCCAGTGCTTTTCAGATAAAGCACTGGTCCTGGGTGTTGTCAGGGGTGTTGACATCATCAGCGTCTAGCCGAGGTGGTAGCCAGGGGCGCAGAGGTCATCCGAGTAGGAGACCATGGACCGAGCCGAGCTCAGGGTCCGGATCGGGGAATGGCTGTGTTCGTGTAGGAGACGAAACGAGGTCACCTCGGCAACAAGGTACTGCCGAGGTGAGCACCCTCAATAAGCCCCCCAAGCCTCGGGAGCTCCGGGCTAGGGAGGTACCGAGGCTTCCCTGTGCCGAAGTCATGAAGAGTCGGGGTTCCGAAACTGCTCCGAAATATGCAGGGACGGGACACGTGGGCGAGTCAGTTGACAGGACGTGGTCACTGGTAACCGTCGCGTCGTGAAGTAGTGGGACGTTTCGTGCAGAGGGAGTGTCAGTTGAAAGGACGAGTCATTAATGAGGAGAGAGAGGGACACGTCCTTTTGAATTCGAACGTGGTTGCCTTTTCGCATTCTTGCCGCCTCTTCGGATTCCCCCCGACTCCCTATAAATAGGGGGTCCTTTTCACCATATGGCCCATCACTTTCTTTCTCAATCTCAGACTTGTAAAATTCTTGAGCGTCGCCGAGGTCAGTCCTGCCAGCCGAGATATCAACCGAAGTCATCCACTTCGTCAGATTCCGTAGTCAACAGTAAGTATCTTTCTCTTCATCTCATCATTCACTCATGGCCAAAACGGCTAAAATCCACAAGGAAACTGTGAAACCGAGCTACCAGGCCGAGGAGGGGCCGGACACTTCGAAGGAAACGACTTCGTCCAGCTCTGGGGGATCGACGTCCGGTGCTGCGGAGGGTTCAGCCGAGTTGGAGATCGTCGAGGCAGCCTCGGTGTCAGAGTCATCCGAGATGAGTGAAGCTGGTTCCGAGGTTGTCTTCAATAACGAGCTCGGAGCTCAGATACCCCATGACGAAGGAGTACTGGAGCCAGTAGCTCCGAAAGACGCGGCCAAAATTGACTTCGGCAAGATGCCGAAGTTCAGAAGTCGAGTGGGGGAAGACAGGGCTCAGAAGGTGATAAGAAAGTACCCTTTCAGGCCGGGGTACATCATCACCTCGCCCGGACCAGATGACTCAGCCGAGAAGCCCCCCATGGGGACTGTGGCAGTCTACATCCAGCAGCTGGAAGCCGGGCTGAGGATGCCGACGTCGAGGTTCTTCAGGGACACACTTCGTCACTTCGGCATGAGGATTACTCAGCTCGTCCCAAACGCGGTCCGCATTCTCGTAGGTTTCGAGATGCTGTGCCGACATCAAGAGCTGACCCCGACCGTGGACCTCTTCCGCCGATGTTACACCTTCAAGGCACATGGGACAGATAAGGGATGGTTCTATGTCTGCAACCGGAACAAAACCATCCCGAAGCTAGTCGTCGGCGCCCCCAGTTCAATAAACAATTGGAAGCGTGACTTCATCTTCGTCTCGGCCGTGGACTTCCCACGGGGTTTTTGGTGGAGGCCCATCAAATCGAAGACCGACGCCTCCGCGGGGGATCTCGAAGAGGAGTCCTTCCAGAAATTGATGGGGTCCGGACTTCGGATCTTCAGCTTGGACCACCCCGAGGCCGTGCTGGTCGATGGGGGAATTAGCCGAGCTTTACTGTCTCCCAACAAGACTCCCTTCCTTTCCATTAAACTTAAGAAACCCTGTAATTTTTCTTTCATGGCTTTTTCTTTGACCTCGGCTATAGCAAATGATAATATTTGTTCTTTGTGCAGTGACCAAATTGTCCGATATCATCACGTCGAGCTCAGGTGCCGAGGTGGCAAAGAGGTCGAAAAGGAAGAGCTCGGGCGAGACATCGGCGCCTCCGCCCAAGAAGAAATCGCAAGGGCAGTCCTCTAAGACCTCGGTGGAGAAGACCACCCCCACCACAGCAGCCCAGAGCAGCTCGGCTGCTGCGGCCATAGGGTCCACCTCTTCGGTGCCAGAAGGGGTGCCAATAGGGGTGACCACGGCACGTCTACCTCCACATGGCCGAGGCAAACAGTTGAAGTCTCCGGTCAACGCGGTGACGGCGTCTTCGCTGTGGAACCGTTACCAAAGCCCCCCAGTGTTTTCTGGGAAAGAAAAATCTCACCCCGGCGAGCATTGGTGTCCGGACTGGTCGCTCAAGGTCAACGACCGATGCAGCCACCCTCGGGTTGCACAAGACCTGGTGATGCAGTCCACCTTGCCGAGAGACTTGGATTTCACCAGGAAGCTGACTCCGGCCGAGATGCTCCAAAGCGTCATGGTGACCACGGCCTCCAACACAGCCTTTGTGGCCGAGATGGCACATCGGTACTGTGAGTTGCTTGAGGAGCAAGACACCGGCAAACTGCAAGATCAGATTGCCAAGCTGAAGAAAAAGCAGGTAGTGTCTGAGTCCGAGAAGTCCGAGCTTCAGAGACGGCTTCAAGAGGCCGAGACTAAGGAGGAGGAGGCCGAGGCCACTATCAATAGTCTGAGGTCGGCTCTGGAGGAAGAGCAGAAAAGGTCGGAGGAGGCTAAGAAGACCCATGAGCAGGCTCTCGAGAGCGCGAGGACCTCGGCTGTAGAGGATTTCCGGAGGTCCGAGACCTTCATCGGGGACCTCGGCCAGCTGACGAGGCCGACCTTCATGCTAGACTTCACATCGGCCATAGACGAGGCAGCAGCTCATCTACCCTCTGAAGCTTTGGAGTCCTTGAGGAACAGTGCCAACTATAACGAGGACTCCAAGGAGCTGTGTGATCGGATGACCGAGGGCATGCAAGGCGGAAGGAACTTGGCCGAAGTCCAAGATGAGTTCAACAAATGGCTAGCTGAGCTCGACGAGGTCTTTGAGGAGGAAGGAGGAGAAGAGGCTGGGGGCGACGTCGGCGAGGAAGAGCAAGAAGGAGGAGGAGAAGAAGCTCACCTCGGCGGGGAAGAAGCCGGGGAGGCTATTGGCCAAGAGGGAACCGAGGCGGAGGCTTAGCTTATAGGGCTTTAAATGTAAAACCGAGGTGGGAGATGCTTAGCAGTACTCCTGACCTCGGTCTTTGTCTTCTTTTTGTAATGCCTCTTCTTATTTGAATGAAAGATCTATTTCTTCTTACTTCGGCTCGTTTAGTTTCTTGTTTCGTCCCCTATTTGTCCCCCTTATTTTTTAATAGCAGATGTACGCATCTCAGTATTGAAAAATAACTAAGCAGCTGAAGTGATAACTTAGTAAAATCTTCAAACATAATACAGTCTGAGGTTCTCGGCATGCCAAGTCCTGGCACTAGAGAGCCATCTCGGTAGCTCAATTTACAATACCCACTTAGACCAGATTCCACAACTCGGTAAGGGCCTTCCCATTTCGGGCCTAATTTCCCTTGCGGTTCAGCTCGGCTGACCGAGTTTTTTCTAAGCAGCAAGTCTCCTGGCAGGAATCGCCGATGCTTGACGCGGGCATTGTAGTAGTGGGCCAGGGTGTTCTTGTAGGAAGCTATCCGAGCTGAGGCAAGGTCTCTTTTCTCGTCCATGAGGTCGAGATCAAACTGCCTCTCTTCTCCGTTCACCTCGGCTACATAGGCTGTCAGCCGAGGACTGGGTGTGAGGAGCTCAGCAGGAATGACAGCCTCGGCTCCATAGGTCAAGGAGAAGGGAGTCTCTTGCGTGGATGACCTCGGCGTGGTCCGATATGACCACAGAACACTGGGGAGTTCCTCCACCCAAGATGACCCAACTCGGTGTAGTCGGGTCTTGAGGCCATGCAAGAGAGTTCGGTTGAAATTTTCCGCCTGACCATTGGCCTGAGGGTGGCCTACCGAAGTGAAGTGTTGTTTGATGCCGAGGTTCTCACACCAAGTCTTAAATGGGTTCTCGGCAAACTGTCTTCCATTGTCCGAGATGATGATCTGAGGTATGCCGAAGCGGCAGATAATACATTTCCAAAAGAATTTTTGAATGGCCAGCCCTGTGATGGTCCGTAGAGGCTCGGCTTCAATCCACTTAGTGAAATAATCCACAGCAGTTACCAGGAAGGTATAGCCCCCGACCGCTTTAGGGAAAGGACCTATGATATCTGTCCCCCATTGCTCAAACGGCCAGGGTGAGGTGATTGGAACCATGAAATTCGAGGGTTGGTGAAGCTCAGGGGCGTGGACTTGGCAGGACGGGCATCTGAGAACAAGATTTTGGGCATCTTGTCGAAGGGAAGGCCAGAAATATCCAAGAAGTAAGGTCTTCCTGGCTAACATCCTGTGGCCGACGTGAGCTCCACAAAGGCCTTCGTGTATCTCGTGGAGGACTTGGCGTCCCTCCTCGGGTGTAATGCACCTCAGCCATGGGCCAAGATATGAGCGTTTATATAGCTCTCCATCGCGGAGCGCGTACCGAGCAGATTTGCGTTGTATTTTCCTTGCCTCGGCTCGGTCCTCGGGGAGGATCCCCTGCCTTAAGAAAATGATGAACGGGTTCATCCAAGTATCTTCCGAGTGCACGGGGCAGGCCACCTCTTCCATGTATCCCGGCTTGCTCAGCACTTCCACTAAGACGGTCTTGTTGAGATCGGAGAATGAGGTGGAAGCCAGCCGGGATAAGGCGTCAGCCCGCTTATTCTGGGACCGGGGTATTCTTTGGATTTCGAAAGACTCGAAGTACGCGGTGAGTTGGTGAACTTTGGAGAGATACCGTTGCATGGTCTCATCCTTGGCCTCGTATTCACCAAGAATTTGGTGTACAACGAGTTGGGAGTCACTGCTGACGTGGATTTGCTGGGCGCCGAGCCTGCGGGCCAGCTGGAGTCCAGCAATTAAGGCCTCGTTCTCGGCTTCATTATTGGTGGCTGGGAAGCCAAAGCGGAGGGCGTAAGAGCACACTTCTCCCTGAGGTCCTTCCAGGAGCAGTCCAGCTCCGCTGCCATCCCCATTAGAGGACCCGTCTACGTACAGCGTCCACGGGGAAGGGGTGAACACCTCGGCACTGGCGGAGGTGGACTCTGGACCTTCCGTGAAGGTCAGCTCGGCCAGGAAATCAGCTAGGACTTGAGCTTTTATGGCGGTGTGGGGCTCATATGACAGGTCATATTCTCCCAACTCGACAGCCCACTTGGTAAGGCGACCGGAAGTCTCGGGTCGCACCAATATTTGCCGAATGGGCTGGTCGGTCCTGACGGAGATGGGATGAGCAAGGAAGTAGGGCTTCAATCGCCGAGCTGCGTGGACTAGCCCCAGCACCAGTTTTTCCACCTGAGTGTACCGAGTCTCCGGACCGCGGAGAGCTCGACTGACGTAGTAGACTGGCACTTGGGTGCCCTCATCCCGGATAAGAACAACGCTGACAGCCTCGTCAGCTGCGGAGAGGTAGAGGTAGAGCTTCTCTTCGGGCCGAGGTGAAACGAGAGTGGGTAGGTGATGGAGGTATTGCTTCAGCTTGTCGAAAGCGGCCTGGCACTCTTCCGTCCAGGCAAACTGATCAGCCTTCTTGAGCACCTTAAAGAAGGGCAGAGCTTTCTCAGCTGATTGGGACAGGAAGCGATTCAGCGCGGCCAGGCGTCCATTCAGCCGTTGGACTTCTCGGATGTTCCGAGGTGGGGACATGTCCTGAATGGCCTTGACCTTGTCGGGGTTGGCCTCGATTCCCCGGTGGGAAACCAGATACCCCAAGAATTTCCCCGAGGTGACGCCGAAGACGCACTTCTTGGGATTCAGCTTCATCCTCGAGTCTCGCAGGACACCAAAGACTTCCCTCACGTCTGACAGAAAGGATGAAGTGGCGAGACTTTTGACGAGAATGTCATCCACATAGGCCTCCACATTGCGGCCGATCTGATTCTTGAAGAGTCGGTTGATCAGCCTTTGGTAGGTCGCCCCGGCGTTCTTTAGCCCGAAGGGCATGGTAGTGTAACAATAAGTACCTCAGTCGGTGTAGAACGCCGTTTTCTCTTGGTCCTCCTCACTCATTCCTATTTGATGGTACCTTTTGAAGGCATCTAGGAAGCAGAGGACTTCATACCCCATCGCCGAGTCGACGAGAGCGTCTATCCTCGGCAGAGGATAGCAATCTTTGGGGCAGGCCTTGTTGAGGTCGGTGAAGTCTACACACATTCTCCATCCACCGGTGTCCTTTTTGACCATGATTGGGTTGGACAGCCAGGTGGGATATTGGACCTCGTGGATCATCTTGGCCGGCAAGAGCTTGTCGACCTCATCCGATATGGCCTTACTACGTTCGGGGCCGAAGTGCCTTCGTTTCTGCCGCACAGGTCGAGCCTGTGGGTTAACGTTGAGTTGGTGAGTCATGAGCTCGGGTGGCACTCCGACCACTTCATCTGCGGACCACGCGACGACGTCTCGGTGGTCCTTGATCAGGGAGATCATTTCTTCTTTCAGGGGTGAGGGGAGTCCGGCCCCTACTTGGACCACTTGGTCAGGTTTTGCTTCATCCAAGACCACTAGTTCCACCTCATCCCTGGGCTCAAGCCTGTTGGGCTCTCCTGCCTTCTATGGGTCGATGCAGTCTATGGAGAGGACCGCTGGCCTCTTTTCTTCTGACCTCGGTGAGGGCCGGGGTGTGACTGCTGCTTGAATGGTGGCGAGGTAGCATTCCCGGGCGGCGCCCACGTTGCTGCTCACCTCGGCCACCCCCGCAGGTGTTGGGAATTTAAATCTCAGGTGGTAGGTGGAGTATACGGCTCTCAAGGCGTTGAGCGTGGGCCGGCCTATCAGCATGTTGTAGGGGGAGTCTGCTTTGACTACCGCAAAACTGACAGGCACAGTTCGGCAGCGTGGATGACGCCCGATAGTTACCATCAGGGTCACCATGCCATCCGGGTGGACGACGTGTCCCCCGAAACCGACAAGGGGAGTTCTGACCGGAGTGAGTTGCTCTTGGATCAGCTTCAAACTCTCGAAAGTTCGGTAGTACAAGACGTCTACTGAGCTTCCGGGGTCGACATAGACCTTTTTGACTATGTAATTATTGGTAAGGACTTCAATCACGAGGGCCTCGTGATTGCTGGAGGCGGCAGGGACAGGGTCATGGGGACCATAGGTAATCACCTCGGATAACCTGGAGCCTGATTCGGCCACCTCCATATCGGCTTGGCGGTAAGTCCTTTTTCGGGAGTTCTGACTGTCTCCCCCAGTGGGGCCACCCGAGATGGTGTTGATCACCCCGGCAATGTTCGGGCCATAGCCTGGCGATCCGTCGCGTGGAGGCCTCTGATCCCCATTTCGGTCCTCGGGACCTCGGCACTGAAGCTTAGTGTCCCGCCTGTCTTCTCGGCGAGGACCTCGGCTCTCCCGGTGGGAGGCGGTTCGGTTGAAGGTTCCATCCTTGCGGACAAACTGCTTCAAGTATCCCTGGCGGATCAGGTTTTCAATTTCTCGCTTCAAGTCGTTGCAGTCTTCGGTCTCGTGCCCCACATCTCGGTGGTAGGCACAGTAGAGGTTGGAATTTCTCTTATCCCTTCTTCCTGGGATTTCAGGGGGAGTTCGGCCGAGGTGATTCTGCCTCATCACAGCCAAAACATGGGATCGGCTGGAATTGAGGGGTGTCAGCTCGGCGTCCGAGGTGGACGATCTGCCATTCACGATCCGGTCGAAGATACTCCGGCGGTCTCGGAGTTGGTTTGAAGTGCCACTTGGGCCTGGTTCACCTCGGCCGGTATCTTTCCTCCTCCGGGGATCTTGCCCCGTACGAGATTCTTGGGCTTCTCGCTTCATGCGATTTACATCTTCACTTCGGATTCCCTGATCCACTCTTTCCCAGAGCTCCCGAAGTGTATGGGGGTACTGCCGATGGATTTCGGTGTTGAAGATCCCTGCCACTAACCCGTTGGTGAAGGCAGCGATAGTTACCTGCTCATTCTGATCAGGTATCTGCACATTCTCCTCGTTGAACCTTTGAGCATACGAGCGAAGTGACTCGCCCTGACCCTGTTGCAGGTTCAAGAGGTAAGCAGAAGTCTTTGTGATTGGTCGAGACGACACAAAGCGGTGGATGAACCGGTCTATTAGCTCATCCAAGGAGGAAATGCTCCTTGGTTCCAAACTCCAGAACCACTTCCGGGCAGTCCCGTGTAGGAAGATGGGGAAAGCCCGGCGGATCACGGCGTCGGGGACGCAGTAGAGTCGGAATGCGGAGATGAAGGCGCGGAGGGGATCCTCGGGGTCACCTCGGCCGTCATAGGTGTGCAAATTTGGAAGCTTAAAGTTTGGGGGCACCATCTCCCCGTTGATGTCATCTGTGAAGGGCGGGGCCCGCATGTAGTCAGAAGCTAAGCCTCCAGGGCGCCGAGGCGGGTCCTCGGCATTTTTCCCTAGCAGTCCCCGGGAAAACGCCCTGGAGATGGAGGCAATTTTAGAGGTCGCCTTGGAGGAGGCGCGCCTAGAGGTACTCCGAGAGAGACGCCCCTCATCAGAGTCCTCGCCTGAAGGCACTTCAGGAGACTTCGTCGGTCTCCTCTTGGAAGATTCGGCTTTTTCTTTCCCCTGTCTTTTGAGGTATCTTCCTAACTCCTCAAAAATGTTGGGGTTGTCTGATACGAACTCGGCCATCTTGGCGATGGCGTCTTCGTTGTGGGGCTGGGTCCTTGGGGACCCTTGTTCTTCAGAAATACGATCTTGCTGGGCTCCGGACGTCTGCCCAGCCCCGGTCGAGGGGACTCTTCCGCTTCTAGAGCGCGTGGATCTCATTTTAGTAATAGTAATCTCGTTCCCACAGACGGCGCCAATTGATGAGGTGATTTTTGGGGGGCGGTTGAACCAGCCGAAATCAGCCTCTTCTGAGGTGAGTTGTATCTGTGTGTCCGAAGTGAATGGCGGGGCTTCTTCCCTGGGATCACTCCGATGCTCAAGTTAGTATGAGAACGAGAGAAATAATAGTATTGTCAAATGAACAGTATGCTTACTTGTTGGGAGTGTGTGGGGTATTTATAGAGTGGGAGTGGAGGTCAGGACGGAGGGTTCATGCTGGTGGGACCCATGTCCTGACATTACGGCTCTGTTCCCTGCGCAGGAGGCCTGACTCTGACACTGTAGCCGCCTGGGCTGGATGACGGGGGTCCTGCGCAGTAGTCATTAAGATCACCCAGTGCTTTTCAGATAAAGCACTGGTCCTGGGTGTTGTCAGGGGTGTTGACATCATCAGCGTCTAGCCGAGGTGGTAGCCAGGGGCGCAGAGGTCATCCGAGTAGGAGACCATGGACCGAGCCGAGCTCAGGGTCCGGATCGGGGAATGGCTGTGTTAGTGTAGGAGACGAAACGAGGTCACCTCGGCAACAAGGTACTGCCGAGGTGAGCACCCTCACTAATCATATTTTTAAACTAAATGCATGAAATACATAATAAATTTTTTATTTATCATACTCACCACAGGGTCGGGAAAATTGTAAAAATTTTCTAAGGAATTTACCTTCCATGTCAATATACAAGATAGCAATGACGCATGTCATATTCTTTTCATAGTTTTATGCATACAAAGCTAATAAGGTGATAAAAATATAATAAACCAATGTTTTATAAGGACAAGAGCTAAAATTGAAATGTCAGGCACAAAATCATATGCATAATTTTTGCCAAACTCATTTTTGCATCAAACCTTTTATTGTACTTCTGAAAAAGATTGTTTGTGATGCGGAAGCAAAATAGGCTAAATTGTTACATGAACAATTCAAACAAATAATCAAGGGTGTTTCACGAACAACCCTTTTCAAAATTCAAAGAACCTTAAGAGACCGTGAGAACACTCACAAAGAATTTGGTAAAGAACCAAGAGAGGATTTTATTAATAATTAAAGCGTGTTTCAATGGTTAACACAAGGACCTATTTCTATTCGAGAACCAAAAGGAATGTCTCACTAGTCAAGGCAATCAATCAAACCTTGTCTTGCTAATCAAGACAATCGATCATGCCAATCAATTACTCTAATTACAACAATTATTTATTCAAATAAATCATAACAAAATAAAATAAAATTCTATCAAATCTCATTATATATTGGCATTATGGTAAGATGTTGTCAAATCTTCATGTAGTATTATTGCCATAATAGCCTTATTTCTTCCACCCTTCAGTGATCTATTTTGGTCAAGAAATCTTTTGAAATATGTTCTGCAACAGTCCCTCCAACCTGAGAAGAACTCGCCCTCAAGATGTTTTGCAGAGCAGAATAGAGAGGTTTATCAGATGAATGATAAAGGAAAAATTCACAACATTGAACGTACGTGAGATACTTCACGATTCTAACAAGTTAATAACATAAGCATTTAGATTAATCTTTGCAAAATCTTGTAGGGACCATACTTGCGTGGTTGCAACTTATGGCATTGACCAACTGGAAGTTGCTCTTTATGTAGGAACATCACCACCTCATCGCCAACATTGAATTCTGCAACCTGACGATGCTTGTCCGCAGCAGTTTTAAATTTTGCATTGGTGGCTTCCAACTTTTGCTTGATTTTCTCTTGTATAGTTTGCGCATCCTTTGCCATATTTTCTGTTGTAGCACTATCTCCTGGAATGTTAGAAAGTTTCACCAAATCAACAGCATGTCTAGGAGGCTTCACATACACAATAGAGAATGGTGATCTCCTAGTTGAACTATGAACTGCATTATTAAATGCGAACTCAGCTTGAGGAAGTGCATGATCCCACTATCGGGGAAGTTCTCCACAAATGCATCTTACCAAGTTGCCAAGAGTATGGTTAACTACCTTTGTCTTATCATCTGTTCGAGGGTGACCTATACTGCTAAAGTTCAATGAAGCATCAAACATCCTCCACAATGTTAACCAAAAATGGCTCAAGAACTTGGTGTCTCTGTCAGAAGTGATAGATTTTGGCACTCCACGCTAACGAACTATCTCTCGAAAGAATAGTCGAGCAATATGTG